ACAACAGGATTGTCCAAGAACTGGGAATGTGCGACACCTTATGTGAATGGATGTCAACACGATTTTCTATTAATCTTCTTTTTACTTGTGAACTTCATCAAATTCTATTTGGTCTAGATGAAGGCTGAAGTCACTCGGCTTGGTAGCAATTGAAGTATTGCTATCTATGTTTGGAAAAATAATAGGCTGACTTCCAATCGATATAGGCTCTTGATTGGCGATCAGGTCTTGATTTAGTTCCAGTGTACAACCGACTGGAATTTCGGCTAAGTAGGATCCCAAAACTTTGACTGTTTCTTGGCCTTCTTCACAGCTTAATGTAATGGTGGTTTCATGGGTATAAGCAAGATCCATTGTCCGAAATCATGCAGTTTCTTCATTACTGGCTCTGTGATTACGGCTTTTACTTCTCGACAGGTAGTGGGAGTTTTTTGTGCCAGGAGTTGAACTTCACAGGGATTGGATTCTTTGATTCTTCTCAAATCTAGTTCTTTGCAAACGTACTGTTTTGCGACCGTTTCCGTGCATGCGTCTCCCGCAAAAGCGAAGTACAACTCATTCTTTACAAGATATTTTCCAGAAGGGATGACTACTTTGAACAGACCCTTATGAAGGTTGGAATTGAATATAAGTGATAATAATCAAATTGGAATGTATGAACAATTGGAATTTGAAGAATGTATGTTATTTTTCTATCAACTGTATAACAGCTGATTTTAATGAGCTTTTCAAAAATCGGGATATTATCCAAAGTAACTTCTAAGGGAGTTGCTTTGTGGATAGTTTTAATGCCACTGAATTTAGTGCTTGAAGTAAATTTTTTGGTTTGATTACACTGGGGTGCATAATTCCCAATTTTGCAAAAGTAAGTGAGTTTTCTATATCCTGGAGCACTGAAATTATGATATGATAGATATTCATGATCTCTGAGATCGTATCTCTCAAGAAATGCCATTTTCTATGTAGGCTTGTGTGTTAATCATGGCTGTTGAAAGCTGATTTATTTTAGCTTCCAATAGCTTTTGGTTATGAGTAATCTGACTTACAGTTTTATTGAATTATCGATAAGTTCGACAGATAAGGTATTCTGACTATTGATAGCTTCTGATAACTTGTTTTGATCATTCTGCAAATCGCTTATTAGAGACTCGAATTTTTCACCATCTGAAGCATCCAGGTTTCCTGTGATTGCTTTGAAAATTGAACCTAAGCCGTTTATTAATCCCCTTTTTATTCTAACAGAAAATGATGGAACAGTTTCGTAAGTAGAGGGAAAATGTCATTTAGCTTTCCGTCTACTTTTCTTTCTAAGAAATACAAAACATTGAGGTAATTTGCTGAGTGTTTATAGTGCTCAATATATTTCCTGGATAATGTCGCAACATTTTCAGTTTTTTTTTTTTTTCTTAAGGTCATTAACTTCAGTGATTATTAAATTGACGTCGTAAAAATACAGTATTGAGTGACAATTTTTGTAATTTTGGCGGTCCCTAATTTCATGGGTATCAACCCTAGGTTATTTTCTAAATTCTTCAACGTTATCGTACCATGGATTCCTATGATTCCTGGGAACCTGTAAAATAATATATTCGAAAGAAAATCTTATTTTTAGCGTGCAATTAAGAGTAAAGTAAACGTAGATTACATACATAGTTTCTTATCGAGAGAGTTCGGTCCTGACCAAAATCGAATTGGTTGATACCGAGTGAATCTCTACATTTTTGACTAACAAACTAGTTAATAAATCATCAATAATTCCTGCAAGAGTACCAGTGCATAAGTGTGAGCCATTAAGAACATATTGTGAGTAAATACTCTACGTTTATGCGATAAATAAGATCAGAATCTGAAATAATTACTTACGATATCTCCGGCGTGCGCTAGCACAGGTAATCCCAAATAC